GCTTTGGCACCACCTGTTGATTTGCAGAAAAAAGTAATAAAAAGTCTTCACATGTGTTTATTTGAAGTACCACAGATACTCCATTTATTTTATAGAAAATAACAACACAAACTGATGGTAATGCCCGGGGGGGGGGGCCGCCGGCGGGCCGCCGGGCGCTAGCTCTGCTTGCTGGGCGCAATGCCTGTGCCGGGGGGGGGGGGGGGGCGGGCGGGCCGCTGGGGGGGGGGAGGCGCCGGCGGGCGCCGGGCGGGCTAGCTCTGGCTTGCTGGGCGCAATGCCTGTGCCAGGGGGGGGGTTGCCAGCATGGCCGCCGGGCGGCTAGCTCTGCTTGCTGGGCCGCAATGCCTTGCGGGGGCGGGGGGGCGCCGCGCGGGCCGCCATGGGTCATCTCCTCATATGCTGAGGTGCCACACCATTAAGACTAGTGTGAATGTCACAAACGGAAAAAGTTTGTCCATACGTCCACAAGTTTGGTGTCTACGGACTCGGCTCGTCACGCTGAGTAACATTATGTCAGCCCCAGCCTTCTGAGTCCGCTCCTTCCGAAGGCCGCCATGGGCGGTCTCTCATATGCTGCCGGGGGACACGGTTTAAATTCTGTGTTTTAATAAATTTCCAAAAAATTTTGCTCGAAAGTCCACAAATTTGGTGTCTACGGACTCGGCTCGTCACGCTGAGTTAACTATGTCAGCCCCAGGCTTCTAAGTCGCTCCTTCGAAGGATGCCTCGTTAAACGTCTCCGAGGCCCGCTTGCTGCGACGAAAAATTTTGTCAAAAGTCCACAAATTGGGTGTCTACGGACATCGGCTCGTCAAACTGAGTAACATATGTCAGCCCCAGCCTTCTGAGTTCGCTCCCTTCCGAAGGGCCGCAATGGGTCATCTCTCATATGCTGAGGTGCCACACCAGCGGTCCCCAAACTTTTTCAGTGGGGGCCACATCAACTTTCCTTTCTGAGATGGGGGGCCTAGGTTTAGTCTATAACAGGAAATGATATGGGCCAGGGTGACAACCAGTAATTATTGTGGAGATTACAATGATAATTTGTTTGTAGCTGCCCTTTGTTTGGCTTGGCACCACCTGTTGATTTGCAAAAAAAAAAGTAATAAAAAGTCTCTCACATGTGTTTATTTGAAGTACACAACAGATACTCCTTTTATTTTATAAAAATAACAGACACAAACTGATGGTAATGCCGGGGGGGGGGGGGGCGCCGGCGGGCTCCGGGCGGCTAGCTCTGCTTGCTGGGCGCAATGCCTGTGCCGGGGGGGGGGCGCCGGCGGGCCGCCGGGCGCTAAGCTCTGCTTGCTGGACGCAATGCCTGTGCCGGGGGGGGGGCCCAGCAGCCCGCCGGCGCCTAGCTCTGCTTGCT